ATGCCTTTATTCCTCTAGACACACTGGGACAAGATCTTAGGCTAAAAGGCGTCTAGGAAAGGAGACTCACATTTTAAGAGTGAAACCCAAGCACGTGGCTCTACTTCTGGGATTAAATACAGAGAGAATGGAGTGAGCCCATGGCTGCCTTCCTGCTGGGGCCAGCCAGCCACTAAGTCCTGGAGACAAAAGGACAGGAGAGTCTGTCCATTTCCAACCAGGAAGAGAGAGAGACAAATGCTCTCTCCTTCACAAACATGAGAGCCCAGGCTCTTTGTAAAGGGGAAACCCAGAGCAGCTCAGAGGAGTGCGCTGGGGTAGTCAGGGCCTAACCTGCTCCTGTGCGTGGTCAGTGCAGGAGCTCCAATGTGGCCGCCACAGACTCAATACCCTCCTCTGTGGCAAGAGGACGCCTGTCTGCACAAGAAAAAGGCCAACAGGATCAAAGGCTTCCCCCTACTTCTCCAAAGGACTCAATCAGCTCCATCTTGTCCTTTCTGTCACTCATTCATCTCTCCACTAGTCTGTTGACTTTCAGGACAGAAAGGCCCTGGCACTGAATCTGCTGACAAAATCAGCAGCCTGTCTGAGAGCTTCAGCTCATGCTGTCCCCTCCACCTGGAGGTGCTGCTCCCTGTCCTCTCCATGGTGAGCAGCTCTGCAGCCTTCAAGGCCTCGCTCAGTTGTCACCTCTGGGAAACTTCCTCCCCCTTTCCAGGCAAGACAAGCAGCTTCCTCAGCACCTCAGCATTGGTTTCTGTTTTCATCCTAACACTGTACACAGCTTTAGGCTCCCCACTCCCCGCAGCCTCGGCCCCATGTCCATCTTGGCTTGCTGGGGGTGAGCCCCTGGAGGGCCAGCAAGGAGTCTGGAATGGAGTATTGGTGGAATTGTGCTGTAGCAGCTGGTCTGAGAGGCCTCAACCGTAGAGCAGGAATCCTTCTGCTGACCTCAGTGGCTGTAGGTACCAGCCCCAAGGATAAAAAGGGAGCTGCAACTTGTAAAAAAAAGTTGTAGAAAAGCACTCTGGTATCAGCTCACTCCTCCACCTTTACAAGGCCACTGCCAAATAGAACCTGCAGAAGGCACAGCACCAACCTTCAGGGAGCCCAGCATCTGGGGTGGGACACAGGCTCAGCAGAACATTGCAGAAGTGCCTGTGAGTTTGGATGAGAGTAAGCCCAGGCAAGGAGGTGATCCCTGAGTCAAGTTCTAAAGCCCTGGAGGCGTGAGTCAAAGAAGAGGTGGGTGTCTTGAGAGATATTCCAAGGCCAGGGGTGGGAAGCATGAGGCGTTGGCACGGCCAGCCTGTTCTGCGACAAGTTGTGACAAAGTGAGATTGAAGTCAGATTGGCAGCAAAGTTCAGAACGTGCAGGTGCTGTGTGTCGGGCTAAGGAGTCACCCTATGGGAGATGTGGGAGGCTTTGGAAGTTGAAACCAAGGGTGAGTGTCATATTACTCTGGCTACAGCGTGGAGAAGACTTAACACAGAGTCTGAGGCTCTGCGTGTGTCATATAAGGGGAATGACAAGAGTGAATCAGAGAAAAGAATTAACAATGCCTGAAAACTGGCTAAATGTCAGAACCTTTTACAAATGAGCACAACAGTTCCTCATATCCATGGGGCATTGGTCCCAGGAGCCCCCACAGACACCGAAATCCAAGGAGACTCAATGTATCTTAGATAAAATGACACAGTATTTGCATATGACCTATGCACAATCTCTCATATAGTTCAAACAATCTCTAGATTACTCCTCATACCTAATACAATGTCAATGCTATGTAAATAGCTGTAAATACTATGTTAATGCCATATAAATTGCTGCCTATGCAGCAAATTCAATTTTTGCTTTTGAAACTTTCTGGAGTTTTTTTTCAATGTTTTCAGTCCATGGATGGTTGTGAAGGAGGAAACAGACAAAACAGGCTCCATCTTGAAAGCAGGACTCCATCTTGGGCCGGACTGTGGACTTTGAGCTATATGGCCAGTATCTATGGAAATGACATACCAACTGGAAAACCAGAACCCCCGGATGGAAGAGCCCCAGGGTTGGTACCTAGACTCTCCATCGTCTAAAAGAATACCCTAATTATCTGTGTAACAGAATAGAATCATAAATTCTACTATGTTTATTGGGGCATGACCACAGGGTTATTGATAATTGTCCACTGTTAACTACCTAGGCTTAAGGCATAGAAATCAGGGGTTTAAGGCATAGACATATGAATCACGGATTAACTTTGATTGTATCTTTCTTTTCCTTTGTTCAGACTAGTTTCAGAGAATTTGGGGAGGTGGGTTTGAGCACGTACACTTAGGGTATATAAGATTTTCACAAAAACTGGTTGGGGTCCTTGGCTAAGAGGAGACTCTGCCTTGGGCCTGCCAGTGTAATAAACTGCACTCCACTATCTGCATTGTCCTTCTGAGTGAGTTTGTTCCTGGAACACATGGCTATAACAATTGAATCCATGGATATGGAACCTGCAGATATGAAGGGCTGACTGTATATTATACCACTAAGATCCAAAAAGCAACCAGTTGGGAACACAGTACTGGTCTCATTCAACAGATAAGAAACTGAGGCTCGGAGAGGTCAAGTGACTTGCCCAAAGTCACACTGCTGGTACAAGGCCAAGGCAGAACTTGTGGTTGCTGCTACATTGCCAGGCTGTCACCCTGCAGACCCACTGGGAAACAGGCTGTGGAATGACACAAAGTTGGAAGGTCCAGCAGGGGCAAAACTGGGCAGGAGGCTCAGATGCCAGGCTGAGTCTGGACTTCAGTCTGCAGTCATGGGAAACCTCTGAGGGTTTAAGAGCATGGGGGTGGCCTGACCAGAACTGTTCAGTCAGATTAACTTGGTAAAGCAGGATGGACTAGACAGGTAAGAAGCAGGAAACAGGGAGACCACTCATCACTTATTCAACCAAGATTTACTGAGTACCTAATGTGTGTCCCCTCACTGTTCCATGTTCTGGAGTGCCAGCAGTGAACAAAACAGAGATGCCTGCACTCACAGATTCTCTCCTAGTGGATGGGCAGTAAAGAGCAAAATAAATAAGTAAAATACACAGTAACAAGCAGTATGGGATTGTGGACTTAAAAAATACTCACAACCTAAAAGTTGAGAGTTATGTTTTATTTGGTGAGAATATTTAGGACTTCAAGCCTCGGGACAGCACCTCAAGTAACTCTGAGAGAACTGGTCCTAGGAGGCGAGAAGGGTAGCCAGGTTATATAAAAGTTCTGCAACAAAGGGCAGGTAGTCTGAATATCAAAAGATTATTGTTAATTAAAGAAAACTAGACATCTCAAGTTAAGGAATTTAGCGTTTTTTTGTGTATGGGAATATGCAAGACATGAAAGAGTCTGGGCTCACTGAAATCATTCTTTTGATTTGCATCTCAGCATATCTGGGGCTGGTTTCCTGTTTCCTCAAGGCTCACCATAGGGTGGCTGCAGTCTGATGGCTGCTAGAAGGCAGGTATTCTTTCTTTCCTAAATTCCCTCAGGGCTCACCAACCCATGACATCATTTGTTTATTGATATGGCAGGAAATATTTCATTTTTCAGGATAAAAGTAGAGCAAGGTGCAGAGTTTGGGTGTCCTGGGGGCTGCAATGCTAAACAGGGTGGGTGCTCAGTGGGGGTTCACTGAGAAAGGTGATAGTAGAACAAAGACCTACAGGAGGAAAAGAAGTGGAGGAAGCATGCAGAAGGGGCAGCTGGAGCAAACGACCAAGACAGGAGTGAGTCTGTACATTTGAATCCATTCAAGGGCTGAAGGGGGCCAGGGCAGAGGAAGCCATTCAGGAAGGGCCTTGCGGATCACGATCAGAACACTGCCCTGCACTCATAGGGTGGTTGCTGCTGAAGGCCTTAAGTGGGAGACGAGCAGCAGACGTGGGAAAATGGACAGAACTTGAAGGCCAGTAAATGGGAAAGGGGCAGGAAAAGAGTCAAATATGACCGAAAGGTTGTGAACCTGTTTCATGCTCGAAGAGGGTAAAGGGCAGAAGGTCAGAGAACACTTTCGTTTCAAAAATGTCAATAAACTTCAGGCTTTTTTTCAGCCTGAGAAACGTCTGCTCTGGTTCGCTGTCTCCCTAAATACTGTGCCAACGCCCAGTGGGGAAGCAGGTAAGTGCTGAGAGATCTGCCCCCTCACGCGCACTCATGCTTCCTTCACTCCCTTCAAAGTCCGTTCTCTGGCCCCCAGGTCACCTTCCCGGGCTGCTTTTAGTCAGGTAAGAACTAAAGTAATCCTGTCTTGGAACCTACTTTGGGGGTGGGGAGTGCTCTTGAACGCACACGCTCAAAAGAAAGAGCCTCGGCTGGATTAGGCTTCTAAATCCCAGACGTTCGAACCTCTGCGACAAGGTTCAGCACGTCCCTTCCCTTTTTTGGATCTCAGATGCCCCGTGGGTACAGCGTCTGCTCCCAACACGAAAGCTGAGGTCTTCTCTGGCCCCTCGGACCCTAACTCAAGTCTCAGGTCAGACCAGGAAGTCCCCGTCCCGGATCGTCCCACCCAACCCCTTGCGTTATAGTCCTGTCGCGGACACAAGGGTGAGGTCGCAACCCTTACCGGTCCGTAGGCGCCCCGCTGGTTGGCCCAAGTGTGTCCACAGCCTGCACCCTTACAGCTCGAGCTGCCGGTAGCCACCTTTTTCTCCCCGCCCGCGTGAGCCGAGGATCTGCCGAGGCTCCTCCACCAAGCGGATTGGCTTGGTTCGGTGCTGGCTCCGCTAATCTGCGTTCGCGGCGTGATCCTGCCCAATCAGGCCGGGCCGCGAGTACCGGTACCGCCCCTCTCCCTGTGCCGAGTGTTCGTCGGGTTAGCCCCACCCACCCCAGTCTTGGGCCAATGGGGAGCGGCGGATAGCGGCCCGCCAATGGGGAACGAGGCCACGCGCACGGGGCGGTGGGAACAGCGCCGAGTCGGTGTGTAAGTCGGTTGCCGTAACAACGGGAAGTGGAGTCCGTCCGGGATGGTGAGTGCTTGCCTCGGTTTCGAGCCCCGCATTCAGAGGCTGTGCCCTTCTCAGGCCTTGCAGGGCCCCGCCGCCTCTCCGGCGCCGTTCTCGGCTTCTCTGAGAGCTTTCGCTGAAGGGTAGGGTAGAGACGCCTGCCGTCCTGCTGGGCCCGTGATTCGCCACCGCCTCCCCTTCAGCCACAGCCGCCGCCCCCCCGCACCTTCGGGTTCCCCTGGCCTTCTCCAGCCCCTTCGGAGACCGTCCCTGGGCAAAAAAAGACTCAGATTCTCCGGAGGCCGCGACCAGTCTCAGACTGTGGCCTCCTGGCCGCCTCTACCAAAAGTTTCCACACGGAGATGGGGGGGGGAGTTTATTATGTTTGGTTGTTAATGTGTATTTAAAATGTTAAATATAGGGACTTAGGGAAACGCGTTGAGCTTCTTGGAGAAGGCTCAGGTGTACTAAGAGAACTGAATTTTATTATTCTATATTGACAAAATATACATCTTACCTTAGTAATATTTGGCCAAATCTAGAAGTCATCAGAAAATCGGAGAAATTAGAGCAAAGCGGATCAGCATTCTAGGACCTTTTTATAATTAAGGATCCCCAAATTGGGAGAACTGATTATCCGTACAGTTGACCCTAGTCAGCTCCTTGGCTAGCTCTCTTTGGGGATGATTTTCAATAAGAAAGGTCCAAAAGAACAAGGGATCTCCTTGCTTGTACAAACAATAGTAAAGAAGGAGGGACAGACTATGCATGGAAAGATTTATTGCTCTTTCCAGCAAACCCTGATATCTCTCCTGTTAAGCAAAGTTTTGAAATACGTTGGTATAAACTATTTTAAATAGATGTGGTTGTAACTGTTTTTTTGTAAAATGTGACTCTATTAAATAATATTTTGCTTCTGTGTTTGTAAAACTTATAAAGGCCTCTAACTTTAAGAAGGCAAACATGGCATCAACTACCCAGCGAAAAAGGATGAGTCCTAAACCTGAGCTTACCGAAGAGCAGAAACAGGAAATTCGAGAAGCCTTTGATCTCTTTGATGCTGATGGAACTGGGACAATTGATGTTAAGGAACTTAAGGCAAGCTCTGTATATTCCTGCTCTGCTGCCTCTAATTTCCTCTGCCTCTTTGTCTTCTGTGCTGTGTTTTCCTGTCTTTACCTCAAGAATTATTAAATAAAATTAAATGCACATATCAATTTGCTTGATGTTATAGTGATTCCTATTCATTTTAACAGGATTGTAGCAGAGGCTGGCTTAATGCTGTCAGCACTGTCATTGGTTCCTCCTGGGTTTAGATGTGCATGTTAAGATGATCCTATTTTCATTGTAGGTAGCAATGAGGGCGCTGGGCTTTGAACCGAAGAAAGAAGAGATCAAGAAAATGATAAGCGAAATCGATAAGGAAGGGACAGGAAAAATGAACTTTAGTGACTTTTTGACTGTAATGACGCAGAAAATGGTAAGTTAACTAAAATGATCAGCATTATTTTCCACCAATAATGGTGGACAAATTTGAATCTAGATATGAAAATGTCTTCACTGAAAAAAAGTTAATGCAGACTGGAGAGTTCAGCTGATAAAAGAGTATCTGTGACTGAGAACTAGGATGTTTAGGTTCTACTTGACTTTTTTCAAGGCCACAAAGTCAAAGTCATTTTACCCTCTTAAAAGAAGTAAAAGTGTGATCTTTGTGACCCAGTACCTGTAGTCATGGAGGCTGTCACCAAGACCATGTGACATCCAGACAGGGCAGAGGGGACGGGCTGTCACTTTTTTTGCTCCTTCTCCAACCAGTAGGTCAGTGTGATAAGCACAAGCAGTAAAACCTTTAATAGTACCAATAATATTACAGTGTCTCGCATTTTGACAAGGCAAAGTCCCTGTACTTTAAAGTTTGAAATTCTTTCCTCTCCCATTTATTAGTATTCTGGATAGCCTCAGCCTGAGGCTGTGTTTTTTACCGCAGTGAGGATTTGGTCTTTCACCACTTCTAAGGTTGAATTCACCCATTCTCTAGTCTCCAAATGGTCCAGAGAGGTGCTAAGATGTCACCGCACCTGTCACCCTCAGTCCCCTAAGTGTCCCACATAGGAGAGGTATTCCCTTTGGTCCATTTCTCTTTGGCCTCCTGGCTCCTCCTTCGTTTGGCTCATCTACATTCTACTGGCCTGTGGAAAAGTAGCTCCATTAGTGTGTCAGATGAGCCTCCCAGTGCACAGGCCTGTTCCTCCTCTAATAATCCTGTTGCTTTGAAATCATCTAACTACATCTATATTTTTCTTCAGGGACTGATTTAAGAGTTCAGGAAGCTTAACATTCTGTAACAACATAGTAAAGCTGTCCTGCATTCAGAGTTGGTTCCCAGATTGCTCTTATTAGGGGCTCTCACTATCTTTAGCTACCTTTCAGGAATATTTGAAGTTGGAGCTCTTGGAGATTTTACTGTTTTCCTCTGTTAGAGTACTGGGGATACCAGTAACATTTTATGATCTCATAACAAGTGAAATAGCCTTTGCTTTCCTTCCTTCCCCTCCATCCCCACCAAGAAGATCCCTCTTCTAGCAGCTTAAACAGTATATTTCCCCTAAGTCTAACTTCACCTTCTGTTCCCATAATTTAAAAACAAATCTACTTTCTCTTTGGTTTGTACAGAAAATGTTCTAAATGCAAACCTTTATATTTCCTTTTTAGCCTCTGGGTTTGTAGTAATTTCATTGTTTATCTTCTTTTTCTGCCCTGGTTACTGTGTGATCTTCTGTGACCCAGCACCTGTAGTCATGGAAGTTGTCACCAAGATCCATGTGACATCCGTGCAGGGCAGAGGGGATTGGCAGTGGTGGGGCTGCGGGACACAAGTCAGTATGAATCACAAGTGTCTCCCTGTTGTCATGTGTTTTATGTTCTGCTTGTTAAGTCTGAGAAGGATACCAAAGAAGAAATCCTGAAAGCCTTCAAGCTCTTTGATGATGATGAGACTGGGAAGATATCATTCAAAAATCTCAAACGTGTGGCCAAGGAGTTGGGTGAGAACCTCTCTGACGAGGAGTTGCAGGTTTGTGATGCTCAGCCTGGAGCCCCGTGTGACTTTTTTGAGTTCCATTTTCTCTGGTTACATTTGAAGAAAAACGAATGTTCTCTTGTCACTCTGCTGACTACTTAATTTCTCTTTTCCTAGTGAGACAAACCAATGGACACTTCCCCCAGAAAAATATACCCGTGGATAGATTTAGGTTTTAGGAATCTCCCTAGTCAGGGCGGCTTTTGAGCTGCTTTTTAGGCGATACACAATGTGGCAAAGTATGACTTGGTTTTCAAATGACTTTTCAGGAACCAAGCTTATTATAAAAGTCAGCCCATTTGCAGCAGGTGGACCACATTGTCTATTTGTGCATCATTATGAAAGCTGATTACTTAGTCACACTTTCGTTCCATTTATGAATTGCTCTAAGTGGAATCCTTCCTGTCCTGCAGGAAATGATTGATGAAGCTGATCGAGATGGAGATGGAGAAGTCAATGAGCAGGAGTTCCTGCGCATCATGAAGAAGACGAGCCTTTATTAAGATCAGTCTCAGCTTTTCTGCCATGAGCACAGGGAACTCGGTTTAGTGCCTGCCGTTGTGTGAAGCCTGGTTTTTGAAAATGTAAATTATTTTTCCCCACTGACATCTCGGTATAACTTTAGTAAGAACTCTAAATCTATTTTCAACTTTTGAAAGTGTTCTTTGAAATTGAGGTTCTTTGTAAGGTGACCGGGTGACTGCTTTAATTCCCCAGGGCAGAACAAAAGCATGTTAGAATGGAGAAAAGGGTCTTTGAGCTTTTGCCCACCTGCCATTCTGCCTTGTATTGCTTAACTCTTGTCCTGCATTCCCACATTTATGCCACCGCCAAACAACTTCTTGTCAAGCACACGTTGTACCCATGTCACCACAAGCAGGGAGCATCTCTTCAATGGTTCCAATTTTAATTGACACCTGAGTGCAGCTTTCTCTTTTATAAAACCCAGTGAACTCTTACTTGCATTTGGATGTGTGTGTGTGTGTATGTATGGGCTATTTGTTTTATCTTCAAATAAAGCCTTTCTTATTTGAATGCTTATTCTCTAAGGATGAGTTCTTTAGCCTTGACTATGAGTTCAGCTTCTAAATCATTTTGTTGAAGGCAACCTGGTAGATCCCAAGCTCCTTGCCAGCCCAAGAACAGAAAACAAAAGAACAGTTTCCTACTGACATGAATTGGTTTTTGCCTTGGGAACCTGTCAGTTCATGAAATTAGTTGGTCATTTTGCATCAGCCTAAATGATGCCCTAAACATAGTTTTGGCAAAGTGTACAGCTGGAAAAGGGTCTTACTGGTAATTTGTGTTTGGGACAAATTGGTGAGAGCCAGGTGATTATGACAGTAGGTAGAGCTTAGCCAACTTCTTGTCAGTTGATTTGCTGGGTGGTGTCTCAGAATCTCAGTGTGGGTTGGGTCCAGTGACCTTGTCCAGCTCCCTCTTGGCCCAATTGGGATGAACTACAAGAGAAATCCTGGCAGATGCCATTAAAGTCTCTGCCCCAGACTGAAGGTGGGGAGCAAGAAGGGATGAGGAGGAATGAAAAATGACCAACATTCACCTGCACGTGGGTTTCAGACTTCTGGTAGGGCATCCTAATCCTGGAGAGGGTTGCCCGATTTAGCCAATAAAAAGAGGACACCTAGGTCAATTTGAATTTCCGATCAATTTTTTTTTTTTTAGTATAAGTATATCCCATTTGGCCATTTTGTTGTTTATTCATCATTGAACTGAAATTCAGATCAATTTACCTGGGTGTCCTGAATTTGAACTAGCAACCTATGTGTGCTGTATGTTAAAGAGGAGTGACCCCAGGCCTTGTCTCTGGACAGGAGCATACGGGAGGGACTGCTCCTTGAGAAACACTGAGATGTGCGGAGTGCCTTGGAGCAGGGTTCTCACGTGGGCTCCACCTCTTCCTGGCTGTGTAATTTGCTGCAGGCTACTTCTCTGGGCACCCAAGGCTTCTTGTCTGTAGGGAGAAGAGTTCTGCTTAACTCAAAATCATTGGGGGGTTCAATGAAAACTTAACAACAAAAGCCTGGATTTACAGTGTCCGAGAAGGAGGCATTTCGGAAGTATTCATACTCACTCATTCCTTTGTTGTGTTTGTCACAAGCTTTTTGTTAAATGTGGGTCTGTGAAGCTTTTATAATTACTGTCCCCACAGTTGAGTTGACAGCATTTCCTGTGAGGATTTGACCTTTGTCATATTGCTGTTTTTTAATAAGAGGCATGTGATCTGATAAAAAACACACAGTATTGGAAAGGAGTGAAAGAAGTAGGCCCCACTTGCCATTTCGCCCCACTTGCCATTTCACTGTTAACTGCCACCCTTATCTAAGAAACATTCTTATCTCCTTCTGCTTAATGTTCTCCTAAATGAAATAAAAGTCAGAATTTCTTGGAGGAAGGGAGAGTGGCAAGTAACATGTTATCCCTAAGGATAGTGAAAGTGAAGTTGCTCAGTCGTGTCTGATTCTTTGCGACCCCATTGATTGTAGCCCACAGAATTTTCCAGGCAAGAGTACTGGAGTGGGTTGCCATTTCCTTCTCCAGGGGATCTTCCTGACCTCGGGATCAAACCCAGGTCTCCTGCATTGCAGGCAGAGGCTTTACCTCTGAGTCACCAGGGAAGCCCTAATGATAAGGACACACAATAATGTTCTTACCAAATCTGTGCAGTTGCTCAGTGGAGGGTCACTTAAGATGGGGATGGAGAAGGATCTGTGGCCAGTTAATGGCAGAAGAGAGCTGCAAGAGGATAGGGAGATGTGGACAGAGAGGAGGCTGGAGTCAGCTGGAGGGGATGGTAGGTGAGGCCAGTGAAATGAGAAGGGAGTAGAGGTTAGTTCATGCGAGGCTGGCCCAAGAGGTGTAGGGGGAGTGGTTGGGTAAACTCTGGGTAGTGTGGGGGTGGATAGGAAGGGAGATACAAGGTAGCTCAGTTCCAGAGGATGGTCTGCAGGGCTGGAGGGGGATGGTGGGGATGAGTAGAGAAAGAGAGTGAACAGCGGTCTGTCCTGTGAGTGGACCAGAGAGATGTAGGGGCAGTAGGACAGGGTGGACTGGGAGGGGGTAGCAGAGGTCAAATCAAGTGGGGATGGGTCAGAAAGATATTGGGGAGTACAAGGAGACTGGGAAGTAAGGGACTGAGGTCCATCCATGTGGGTAGGATAAAGTGATGGGAGGGGAAAGGAGAGGGAGAGGGAGCAAGAGTTGGTTTCCGTGCACATGGATCAGGGCTGTAGGAGCTTGGGGGTGCTGAGGGGAAGGTATGAGATCATGTTCAGCTGGAACAGAGAACTAGAGTGCGATCAGACGTGATGGGGAGGGATAGGGTACAGAGTTCAGTTCATGTTGGACCGGAGAGCTGTGGGAGAGTGGGCGTGGAATTTTTATGATACAAGATTTTGACAGAGACTGGTTCACAGGAGGATGGACTAGAGAGCTGTATGAGAGTTGCGGGGAGGGGAAAAGAGGGAAGAGGAGGGAGCAGGGTTTCCTACATTGGTGCTTTTGAACTGTGGTGCTGAAGAAGACAATTGAGAGTCCCTTGGACTGCAAGGAGCTCGAACCAGTCAATCCTAAAGGAAATCAGCCCTGAATATTCATTGGAAGGACAGATGCTGAAGCTCCAATACTTTGGCCACCTAATGTGAAGAGCTGACTAATTGGAAGAGACCCTGATGCTGGGAAAGATTGAAGGCAGGAGAAGGGGGCGACAGAGGATGAGATGGTTGGATGGCATCACCAACTTGATGGACATGAGTTTGAGCTAGCTCCAAGAGTTGGTGATGGACAGGAAAGCCTGGTGTGCTGCAGTCTGTGGGGTCGCAAAGAGTTGGACACAGCTGAGTGAATGAACTGAACTGAAGTGAGGAGGACTTGTGGGCTGCTTCCTAGATAAAATTCTTAGACAACAGCCTTGCAGATATGTCCCTTGCCACTAGGTGGAGCCCAGGACAGAGAGGCTCCAAGGAACGTTATCATGTGGAGCCCAGTGATTCAAGCTGGATCTTCTCAGGTGCCTTCAGAGGCCTGTGGTTCCATCCAGCCTTGGAGTGTGATGGAGAGGATGCCACAGTGTCTAGAATCCTGGAAGGGCTGTGGAACCCTCAGAAAAGCTACCAGGTGTGAACACTGATGGGATGATAGCTTGTCTGGTTGGATACTTGAGTAAATTTAATTAAAAGAGAATAAAATGACATGTTTGAATTTCTGAGTGTTTGCAGGGAAAATTGTTTATCTCCTACACGGCCTTATTGAGATTCCCCAGCTACACTGAACGTTTCTCAAGGGAAGGGCGCAAATGTGCTTTTGGCTTCTTCATAGCCATGCTTTGTGCCCGTCAGAACGCTCTATTCACAGTCAATCCTCCTCTTTTGCCAGTGTTGATCCTGGAGCAAGGGTTTATTAACTGATTGAGGATTCCAACATTCTGTGGCTTTCTTCTGTTCATTGTGCCTTCTTATGGTCTGAATTGTCTTTCCTTAAAAGATATGTTGCAGTCCTCTCCCTCAGGACCTCAGAATGTGACTATATCTGGAGATATAATGAGTTCACTAAGGTGGGCCCCCATCCAATCTGACTGGAAAAGAGAAATTTGGAAATTTGCATGCAGGCATGCATAGAGGGAAGCCAATGAGGAGACAGAGACAATTATCTGTAAGCTAATGAGAGAAGCCTGGACTAGATCCTTTCCTCACAGCCTTAGACAGAACCAGTTCTGCCAACACTTTGATTTTGCACTTCAAGGTTCCAGAACTGGGAGACAATAAATGTCTGTTGTTTAAGGCCCTGAATCTGTGGGACTTTGTCGTTTCAGCCCCAGCAAGCTCATACATGTCTCTCTCACTGAAAAACTTCCTTTATTCCTCCAAGTGTCTTTACCAGAAGTGCACGTGGTGGTGTCAAGGAAACAGAAATTGGACATGGAGGTATGCAGCCTCACCCCCCACCTGCAGAAACTCCCCCCTTAATTTAGAGTGTAAGCTTGTACATGGATGGGAGTCCATCTCCTTGGGAGATGTTGTACGTGGGTGAATATTTGTGTAATCCCTCATACAAATAAGTCCAATGATTACAAACTGAGCCTGAAAAGCATTGGAAAAATGAGTGACCAGAGGCAGTGTGACAGAATTTCAGATGTTATTGGGGTTGTTGATTCTCACCTGCTATCTACAGTTTAAGAGCAATGCTTTCAGGATGAATCTGGCTCTCTGGAGAACAGACACAAACCTCATGATGGGCACTGTGAAGTAGTGGGGAAATGTCTCTGGAGCTGGACAAGTGAAATTCCATTATGTGACCTTTGGCAAGTTATCTAGAGCACCAGTACTTCACTGGTTTCATCTGTCAAAGGTTTTTATTTTATTTTATTGCAGTATAGTTGATTTACAATGTTGTTTCAGGTGTTTCAGTTTCAGGTGTAGAGCAAAGTGATTCAGTTATACATATACAGGTATTCATTCTTTTTCAGATTCTTTTCCTACATAGATTT